TAAATTAACTAAAATTTCTAATTATTATTTAGAATACTTATTTATTATTTATTTTAAATATGGTAATTCTTCTTGTTATGATTTTTGTATTAATTTTTCACATAAATTTTCATATAAAAAATCATTTATATAATATATATCATCTCTTTCAGGAATTCCTAAAATCTTGTTTTAATGTTAAATTTATATAAATAATTATTTTATTTTTTTTAACTTCTAAATACAAAGATCCATCTTAATTAAAATGCAATTCTTTGAATAAAGGCATTTTTTCAAAAAATAAATCATAAAATATACATCCTAAAGCCCATTAATCAGTATAATTTTATTCAATATTTTAAAAATCATATTAATTATTAATAACATAAAATAATTCAGGGGGCATATATTATGAATAATAACTATTTTTGAGTAGTTTTTCAAAAATAATTTCTTTTTTTACTCTAAAAGGCCTTAAATATACTAAAATATCGTCTTCAATCCAAATGTTCTTTTTATTAATTTAAAAATGTGTTTCATCTAATGTTTTTTATATACTTATTAAAAAAATAAAAAAAATATAAAAACTTAATTCATGTAAAAATTTAATAGAAACAATTAAATTAAGAAAAATTTATTATTTTCTTTGAAAACTAATACTATTATTTTATAATAAATCGTAGAGTTTAACAAAATTTTTTTTCCCTTTTTTGAAATCTGGTTCAATAATATATAATTAATAAAGTTCTGTTTTTTTAAAAAAATTAAATCAAATTATATTAAATATAAGAAATAAATATATTAAATAAAAGTATATATACATTTTTATTAATCGAATGCTAAAAATATATTATCTGCCAAGATAATTCCTAACTCGAATGCTTTTATTAAATTGAGAAATCTTGAATTTTAATACAAATCATTTTAATCAAAATCAAATTTATATAATTTTACAGCTTATTCAGTACTTTTTATAAATCCTTTGTATATTGTATAATATTTTTTAATTTTTTATGTTTATATATCATATTCTAATAAACAATCTTCTAAATTAACAGTAAAATTATTTAAATTAATAAAATTAATAGAAGAATTTTGCATATTTTTTTATTAAACAAATTTATATAAAATAAATACAATTTTAAAAATAATATATAATAATATAATTTAGTAATAATATAATTAAAAAAAATAAATTATTATAAAAAAAAATATATATATATATTAAATTAATAAATATATAACTTATTTAAATAAAACTATTAATAAAAATATTAAATATTTTTGAATTAAGTCTTAAAATAGAAATAGATTAAATTTAATTTAAAATTTTCAAGAAATAAAATAAATTTTATAGTTAAAATTAAACTATCTAATTAAATATTTAATTACATGAAATATATATATGTACTATTTAAAAATATAATCATATTATTTTTATTTATAATATTAGATATGATAGAATAGATAACTTATATTATTTTCACGAAAAAAGCTTTTAAAAAAAAAATGATTTAAACTTATTAATTTCTTAAAATTATTATAATTTAAATTACATTTAAGAAAAATAAAAATTAGTATTTATTCTAAATGTTATATTTTTTAAATACTCAACTATATTTTAAACTAAATAAAAATATTTATAAAAAAAACTAAAAAAATAATAATTATAATATAAAAGTTTGATTTTAATAAAACAATTATAGTTTATATTATTTTATAAAAAAAAATTATGATAAATTTTTGTATAAATTTTTTTTTTATATTAAAGTATATTTAAATTTATTATTTTATTTACAAATGAACATTATAAAAACAAAATTATTTAAAAATATTTTTCATAAATTTATATTATATGTTTTAAATAATAAATATAAAAAAATACATTTAAAAATATTTTTATAATTATATATATTATTGTAAAAAAAATTTAAAACAATTTAAATCGTACATATTTTTTTAAATAGGAAATAATAATAAAATAAATGAGTTTATATTGTAATTAACATTTTGATCAACCGATAATGTTTGTATGTTTAGATAATGATTGTACAGAAAAACTTCATTGTTTTAAATGTTCATTATAAAATAACAAACATAAATTTATAAAATATTAAGATTTTGTCCAAAACTTATAAAAGTATGCACTTTTAAATTAATAAAATTCTCGATTTGTTGATGATGATATAGATTTGATAAGTTAATGTATAGAAGGTACAAATAAATAAGAAAAACATTAATATATTTATGAAGAATCGTAAAAGTGCATGGATTATTTACAAAAGTATTAAACAAAATGCATTTAAGATATTCTTTAGGCTTTTTTGGCAGATATAAGTAACTTAATAGAAAGCGCTAAAGAAAAATATATAAAAGAACATCAGAAAAATATCGAGAAAGCATTTTCTGCTGAAAATATAATTTATGGAATGAAATAAAAAGAGAAATTTTGTAAAATAATACTTAATTCGATTTAGAAATAGGATATTTAGGAAATAAATGAGAATATTTTTAAACTTCATAAAGGTTTTTTTCAAATTAATTAGTCAAAATAATATGTAATAAAATATTTATAGTAAATAAATTAAAATTTAGATTAATTAACTCAAAAAACATTTACTTTTTTGACTTAATATGTAGTAGATTGTGAGAAACAAATTATTTAATCCAGTTTATTATTAGACAGTAATGAAGAATTGTCCAAAAATAACTTCTTTTCTGAAAAAAGTTCGTCTTTTTTCAAAGAAACGCCTAAAAATTCACACAAAAAAACTGATATTTTTTTTTAAATAATCAAGAAAATAGCAACTCTTCGAAAATTCCATCAAATAGAAAACTCCAAAAAAGCCAAATCCTTTCCCAAAATTAAAATTTTCCTTAATCTTATTATTTAGAAGATACAAATACATACCAAATTCTAAACAATACAATAAAATAGCAAAAAATATAAACACAATAAGGTTTAATAAGCCAAAAATGTTCTTTTTAAAATTAAGATTTATTCCGAAATCGCATATATAGTTCATATTCTCCATAAAATATTGAAAAATCGCTTTTTAGGACATAAATAAAAGCTAATAATTAATGTACTGAAAACAATACTTTTATATATGAAACTGATTAAAAAATAAAAGAAATTATAGTATTGGATAAAAATACTATCGTTTGTGTGAATCATGAGTGTTGTTTGCAATTTTTGAGAAAGAATGTGTAAAGTAGTAAATTTTATTGGAATAAAAAAGAAGAAGTATAGACTGATTTAAATGAGGTTATTTAAATTTCGAATTGTTTAGAAGGATTTTTTATTGTTTTTGGAAAAAAGAGGGAAAATATGTAATTTTTAAAGCTTTTTTTTGGAGAAAGTTAAATTTTTGAATATAAAAATTTGCATTAAAATTAAATTATATAAATTCAAATATTAAAAGTCGAAATAAATTCTTCGAAAAAAAAAGTTATTTTTGCAACTTCTTCGTAATTTAATGTTAAATTTTGGGTTGATTTTTCTACTTCTTTTTCTTTTTTGGAGCCTTAAAGTATACAAAAAATTTTTTCTATTAAACTCAATGAAGATTTTCAACCTAAAGGAACTTTATTTATGGAAAATATGGTCATTTCCTTTGACCATGACTAAATTTTTAAATGGGATTTAGACAAAAAGTTAACTAAAGTATATAAATAGATTAATAAAAGCGTCTCTTAAATGAATTTAAATGATAGTATTTTCAATTTGATACCTTTGGAAGGACAATAAATTTTAGTTTTAGCTTGTTATTGTGATTTTGTTTACTTAATTGATGTTAATTTAAATATTTTAAAAAGAATTTCTTATGAAAAAATCATTTAGAACTGCTTTTTGGGATCAAACTAGTGCTATGAAATTATCAGTATGTACTTGTTTTAAGATAATCTAATTTTCTTTTAGTTTTCTATTGATTAAACTTAGTTTGCTTCGGTAATTTTTAATGTTTTAGATGGTAAAATTTTGAACAGATTTGATAAAGAAATTCTTTGTATTAAAAAAATATTTGATAAATAAGCTATTTTACTTTAAGATAATGGATTAAGCTTAAAAATTACTAATTTTTAAAGTTTTTGATATTTGTACTTATATTTAATTATTTTATAATAATTGATGTCTATATATTACTTATTTGTTTTTTATTTTTTCCTTAATTTTTTTAACACCATGTCAACAATAACAACAAAAAGACTACAAATATTTATTTTCTTGTATATTACAAAGTTAAAAAATATTTTTTATGATTCAAGCAATATAACAAAAAATTTTGCAAATAAAAAATTATTAATTTTAGAAAATAATTATTTTTGTTTGATTAAATTATTTAAAATAAAATATGAATATGAACAAGTAAAATATAAAATATTATTATTTTATAGTTATTGTCTATTTATTTTTAAAATTAATTATATTTTTTAAAAAAAAAATACAAAGTAAATTAATGCATAAAAATAAAAAGTAAATGAATAAAAACATAATTGGAATTAATAAAATAATAATATATATATATACATATAAAAATTTATGTATTTTATTATATAATATTATATCATTTAGAATTTTTATATATATAATTTTGTAATGTAAAATAAATTATTATTATATATGAGATTTAATTCAACTTTACATATCAGTTTGATAATATTTATTTTATTAAGAAAATATGAGTTTTTTATTAATTTATTATCTTAATAATTCTTCATCTTCTTCATGCTCTTCTTTAATGCTTTCTTTCTGTTTTCTTATTTAAACTTAAATTTAATCATTTTATTCTTTTTATTTATCTAAAGAGCCAATAGTATAATATAAATTATTAGAATCTATCCTCTAGTGTTATGCTATATTTTAATCAATATTATTATTATTTGCCCCAAATTTATTATCTCTTGTAATAAAAGAGTTTAAATTATCTTATGTAAAATCATCTTCTTTATTAACATATGGAATTCTTAATGGCTTAGTAAACATAGATACATGTTTTTCCCTTATTTATGGGATTATTTCATTAAAATTCTCTTAATTGGCCTATATTTCTGTAGAAGCGAGCTTTTTTAGTTAATTGGATGTGTTAAAATATTGATGATTTAAAGCTGATTTATAATCAATTCTTTTCAAAGGATCTTTTTGCAACATAGACATAAGTAGGCTTTTACAAGTATTGGATAAATTATCATAAATGCTTTTTGAAAAATCGACTTCGCAAAGTTTATTTTTTTTGAGTACATCATTAAATTTTTTACCTGGAAAAACCGCTTCACCAGTTAATCTTTAAACAGTAAAAAATTTATAAAAAAAAAATAGAAAAATACTTACAATATATGAAAAATAACTCCAATAGAAAACATATCACAAACAACTGAATAAGGCTTAGTTTTATCTTCTAAATTTGCTATTTCTGGGGCTACAAATCCTGGAGTTCCACATTTTGGAAATATATAAGGATCTTCATCTTGATATGCGGCTAAACCAAAATCTACTATTTTTAATATATTTGTATTTCCTTTTTATCCAAACAGAAGATTTTCTGGCTTTATATCTCTATGCATAATGTTCTTTTAGGAACAATAGGCTATTCCTTTTAATAACATGAGAATTATTTCTTTTATTTCATGATCTTTGAATGGTGTTTATGAATGTTTTTTTATTTCTTCATATAGTGATACGCCTTCTACTAATTCCATTAAGAAATAAAATGTATGTTCACCCTCATATACATCAAATAACTTTATTACATTAGGATGATTACGTAAATCTCGCATAATTTTTAGTTCATTATGCAAAGAAAGCTTATTTTTTTATTATAATTAATTTTTTGATTTATTTTAATTACCATCCCTTTATCTAATGATTATAATTTTTATTTTTCAAAACATTTTACTGCAAATTTTTCTTTTGTAAATCTATGTTAAACAGAATATACCTTCATAATAATTTTTTAAAATAAAATAAAAATATGTTAATACTCTTGCATAATTGCCTTTTCCTACTTAAGCTATTACTTCATATTCGTCTTAAAAACGTGCTTGAAATATTCTTTACCCTAGAAATTCTTTCAGTTTAATTAAAGTGATTTCATCAGCGAAATATTCATATACACTTACTCCATCCAATAAATGAAATCCAGTTAACTTATAAGGAGCTTTTGATCTATTATAATCCCAAACAATTCTATTATTTGGCTTTAATTCGATTATTTTTTTAGGCATTTTTGAATAAGGGCTCTTTTTTTTTTTATTTTTTATAAAAAACTTTTTTTTTACTTTTAAAATTAAAAAGAATTCATTAAACATGTAGCCATATTTTATTTTAGCTTTATCAGCTTTTTTTTAATTTATTAATTTGCATTCGAAAAGGCATTAGGAATAATCTATTCCATTATTTACTATGTATTTATTTATTGTGCAATAACTAGGAAAACTAGCTGCCCATTATTTTCAATTGGTGTGTAACTATTTCTAATCATTTTTTTATTTGTTTACTAAAATTATTATTATATTTATTATTGATACATTTTTTTAATTTTTAATTTTTATTATTTTATTTTTATTAATATTTATTTTGCAATTTTTTTATTATTTTTTATTTCTTTATTATGTAATATTAATAATAATTTTATTTTATGAATCATAAAATAAGTTTTTTTATTTTAATAAAAAGTATTTTTTTAAAATTTATATAAATATTAATTTATAATTTTATTATATTATTATTTTTTTCATTTTATTTATTAATCATATAATAAATGAAAATCATTTTAATTTTTGCTTTATTAATTTTAATATAATGCGAAAATGGTTCTAAAATTTATTTAAATCCTTATTTTTTTATAAATTGATTTTTTAAATATTTAAAATTTAAAAAGGCGATATGCATATAAATAGAAATGTTGTTTCAACAAATACATTTACAGCCACGTAATTGATATCTAATTCTATTATCGTATAAGAAATTATATCTGAAACTAAAAATAATACTGCAAAAAATATTTTTGCTTAGGAAATAACTACAAATGAATTATAAGTAGAAAACATTTATATAGCAAATGATGATGTAAATAATAAATATATAAATTGTAAATTTTTTATATTTAATTTTTAATGTATTTCTTAATAATATAATTTATTTATTTTATATCTATTAGAATCAACTTTACTTAAACGGAGATATAGTAATAGAATCTTTAAGTGTATAATAATAATTTGAAGTATCAAATCTTTTACAATGTATATTATTAATATTTAAAAAATAAATATAATTTTTTATTAAATCTCAATCATATTTCTTAAAATAATTTTTTTAAAAATTAAAAGAATACAATTGGTAATTAGTTTATCATGATGATTTTTAGGAAGAAGTAGATTTATGACAAAAATACTTTTTTTAATAAAATATAATTATATAAACAAAAAGAAAAGTTTAATTGGATGGAATGTAAAAGAAAGATCTTTTTGCAAATAAAATGTAAAGTAAAATGAAGATACAAATCACTTCTTAGGAGGCTACTGTGTAGGCAGTTCATAATTGAATTTAGAAAAAACATATAGTGATTTACCTAGGCATAAATAAATAAAAATTTTAGCAAGAATTCATTTTTTTGATAACTGGAATGGTGAATATGTATAATTGTTTGTAGATGATAAATTGATATGGTAAAAATCTGCTGAATCATCTCATCATGATATAAATATATGTGGAGATGAAAGTGGGGATCCTCATTTTGGAATGTATTTTTTATTAATAATAGTTATAAATTAAATATATATTTTTTTAAAAAGACCTATTGAAGTCACAGCACCCCATAATTTATAAAATGTCAATTTAAGGTTTGTTACAAATTTAGAAAAAAATAGTTGTTAAGCAAGTTTTGCTATTGACGATATAGAAATATTTGTAAAATGAAATTTATTTTTTTAAATTAAAATTGATGCAACTTATTTTGTGTTTTATTACTTTTTATAGTTTGAATATTAGAAATATTTAAAAAATTTATTAAAAATGTCATTACAACAATTTAAAATTTAATATAACATTTTATTAAAAACTTTTATTTTGAAAAAAATAATAATAATATTTAATTTACATATTTATTTAAAAATTATTCTAGTGATAATTTTTATCCTAGTTTTAATCTATTTTGTTTGTTATATTTACTATATTTTAATAGGTGCTTAAACAGGAATATACTTATTATATTGAATTTAACTTTTGTTAATTTTACATTAAAAGTTATAAAGTTCATTTAAACATACCAATTAAACTTATTCCTATTCGATTATAATTTAATTTTCTTAATCTAATATACACATGAAAATACTTCCAACTCTTATTATAAATATTATAATAATTTGTTAAGATTTATATGATTTCAAGTATTGCTTTCATTAAAAAATAAATTATAAATATTTTATTCAACTAATATTCAAATATTAAAAACAATATTTTTAAAATATAATTAATTATATATTTATCTTCTTTTTATTATATATAAATATTAATATTTACATTAAAATCTATCTTAAAATTCATTGTTCATAAATATTTTTAATAAAATGAAAAAATTTAATATTATTTTAATTTATAAGGTTTTAATTAATTTAATATATTATTATATTATTACATTCAAATTTAATTTAATATAATCAAATTTCCAAACTTTTATAGTTTCATAGGTTTCAGAATATAGATAGTCTAACGGATTTTTTATATATGCTAAAATATCCACCAAAAATTATAATATGCTTAGAAATTATGGATAAAACTTAAAATATTCATAAGAAAAATAAATATTATGTAATAATATTAGAAAGATTAATGGAATAATTAAATTATAATTTAATATTCATTTAAAGTATATAATTATGTTTGTTATTATATGAATTTATAGACTTAATGATAGATTCAATAACTATTGTTAGTTAAGCCGTCCCAAATTAATTTATTTATATTTCATTTTATAATTGTATTTAGAAGAGTTCTATTTATTTATATATAAAAAAATATTTGGTTTAAGGCATTTTTTTTTAGTGATTCAGATTTTTTACTTGAAAAAATGCATGAGATAATTCTAATATGTTAATTTTAATTATTTTATGCTTTATATTAATTAAAATATTTAAAATACTCTGTATTTACTATTCATTATATATTTAAATTTTAAAACTTATTATAGTTTGTATTCTTATATAATTCATTTTTAGCATTTTCTATTATTATTTATTTAATTTTTTTAAAATATTCGATTCAAAAGAAACAATGCCATAATTCATTTTTTTGTTGATTGTGTTGTGTTTAAAAAATAAAAAAAAATGTTTAAAAGTATTATGTTGAAATAAGTTTATAGCTCACAATATTTATATATATCTTTCAGTTGACTTAAATTTATGATTACTTTAAACATTTTTTTAAATACTATTCCCTATTAATAACTAATTTCAAAATTAGTGATTCTATTACTATGTTGAAGATATGCCTTTTGAATTATGTTTTTCATATAAATGGCCAATAAAACTTTTAATTTTAGTATATTAATTTTCTTTAAGGTTAATATTTTTATTCTTATGATTAGCTAATTATAAGTATCAATAATATCAATAAAATTTTGTCATAATCTACATTTTTTTTTTTTCGTATTTTATTATTTATTTTAATTAAATTTTTTATTTTGTAATTATTTAATTTTAACTTGATTTTCTTATACGTTGTTTATTGTTATAATTTGTTAAAAGTGATCTTTATAAAATTTACTAGTAAATTGTAATTTAAGAGTGGTTAGTTCTAATTATATTCTCTTCAAAAATTATAGTGATTATAGCAATTTTCATTCTAATAATATTAATATTTATATATTTATATTGTTTAATTTCAATACAAATAAGTAGCTTTTATATTTCGCAATTAGCAAAGTCTTCTTTCCCTTTTTATAAATATTTATCCATTGTAAAAAAATAATTTAACCTTAAAATATAAAATTATATTATTTATAAAAAATTCTAATATATTTTTTTGAAAATCATATTGTTTTTAGGATTTTCATTTAAAAATAACATAATATAATAATATAATGTTTAAGTATTTTTTCAATACACGGGCAATCTATTTCCCGTTTGAAATTTATTATTCTTTTTAAAAATAATTTTCTTAACAATTCAGATTATTATTTTGTTTTTGAAATTACATTTATTATATATAATGTTAACAATTTACAATTTAACTTAATTTTTTAATTTTTCATATCTTATTTAATATCTGAATAAAGTTATCCCAAAACTTATAAATATTTTTTAAGAAAACTCTAAATTTTTCAATTTTATGAAAAATAGATTAAATAGATTTTGTAAATAAAACAAAAATAAATATACAAAAAAATTGTCAACAAGAAATATTAATAATAACTAAATATTGAAAATTTTATTAAAAATTTAAAGTAAAAAGGAGGAATAAATAAATAAATTTATTAGGATAATTAGTTTAATTTTTATTATGATTGTTTAAATATTTTAAAAGAAATTGTTTATTAATTTCATTTATTAAATTTATCTTTTCAAAAATAAGATAAATTTGTTATTTTAAGTTCTAATAAAATAATACTAATCTTGTCAGATGTTTGTTAAAATTTAGAAGATTTTCTGAAGATTTTGATAATTACCTTTCAAAAAATTAATTTAAAATTAATTGTAAATCATAAATTTTATAATTAATAGTTTATTAAATAAGTGTTTCCTAATATTTATAAATCTGGATACTTAAATTATACATGACCTTTATGAGGATTATTTAAGAATTAATAATAATAAAAATAATATTATAAATAGACCATTTTGTAAAAAATTAGAAATATTATTATTAAGAAAAAATATATTATTTTAAAAATTCAAATAAATTTTATTAATTTTTAATATTTTATTATTTTCATTTTTCTTAATGTATGATATTTTTTATTATTTTTTTATATCCTTTAATCAGTTTAAAAGATTTTATTATAGAAAATAAATTATTTTAACAATCTTTAAATATACTAATTGAATTATAAGTAATAATAAAATAAAATTATTAATAGTTAATAATACAGAAAATATATTATTTAAAATAAATATTATGTAATATAGTTATGATGTAATATACTATATTAAAAAATGTTTTATATTTCAACATTTGTTTTTAATAAAATATTAAATTAAATATATAAAATAAAATAATAAATAATTAAGAAAAAAACTAAAAATACGAAATGTAAAATCCAATATATTAATAAGAGCTTAAAAATAAATCATTTGATATTGAAGAAATGTCAAATTTGATATATGAAGGAAAAGAAAATCTCGAGTAATTTAAAAAATACTAAGAAACAATAGCAAATGACCCTATTTTAAGATATGATCCTTAAATGCTTGAAATATCCAGAAAAGATCATATGAAGATTTATTGCTAGAAAACTTACAGATATCATTAACTATTTAACTTATCTGATAACCCTAATAATAAATATTAAATGTTAGTATTTGACGATCCTCTTTAAGGTTCAAATCATTAAACAATGTTTATTCCATGTTTAAAACAGTTGGCGAGTGATGAATAATAAGTTTTAAAATATCTGTATATAAATATTTATTTTTTTTAAAAAAGAAAAAATGGCTAAATGATGTACTTACATTAAAAATTATAGGATGTTATGCATAAACAGAATTAGCTCATGGTTCTGATATTCAAAATTTATAAACAACCGCTACTTTTGATAAATAGACTGATGAATTTATCCTTAACACTCCTAGTATAGAAGCCACAAAATGGTGGGTTGGTGAACTTGGAAAAATTGCTAATCATACTATTTTGTATGCATAATTAATTATTGATGGAAATAAATATGGAATATAACCTTTTATGGTTTAAATAAGAGATCTAGAAACCCATTTACCTCTTGATGGGATAGAATTAGGAGATATAGGTCCTAAATATGGTTATAGTTCTAAAGATAATGGATACATGATATTAAAAAATGTAAATAAAATTAATAAATAACAAATGTATAAAATTAAAAATAAAGGTTAGAATTCCAAGATTTAATATGCTAAGTAGATACGCAAGAGTAGAATAAGATGGTAAATTTAGTCCTGCTGGAGATCCAAGAATAGTATATGCAACAATGATGTTCGTCCGAGCAGGTTTAATTTTCTAATCATACTTTTTTTTGGCGGCTTAATTAGTTATAGCAACCCGATATTCTACTATAAGGTAATAATTTAAGGACGAAAATGGAAACGAGTAAACTATTTTAGACTATTAAACCTAATAAGAGAAATTAATTCCTTATATAGCTGAATTATATACTACATGTTTTAGCTTTAGAAAAACTTTTAATATGTATTAGACAAATTTGGAAAAATGCCAATAATAAGACTTTTCAATGTTAAAAGATTTACATGCTTTATTAAGTGGTCATAAAGCCGTTTCTACTTAGACTACTTTATTTGGAATGGAAAAAATAAGATAGTCTTGTGGAGGACATGGGTTTAGTACTTATAGTGGAATGGTGGAAAGATTAAAAGTTTATTATCCTTATAGCACTTTCGAAGGAGAAAATACTATAATGTTATTATAAACAGCTAGATTTTTAATAAAGGTTGCCTAAAATTAACAAAAAATAACCCCTTAATGCGAATATTTACAAAATTATGAGGAATTTCTAGGAAATGCGAAGTGTGAGTTGAATTCTATGCGTGAGTTTTTAGTTTTGGAGTAATTAAGGAAACTTTTAAGGTTCAATGTGTGCTTTAAGGTTGTTAATGCCACTAAGAAATTAAACCATAGTATTATTTAGTATGGAATTAACAAATAGGAAGCCTGGGATAATAAAAATAATGCGTATATGTGTGAAGCTGCTACTTCTCATATTCATTATTGGATGTTTAATGGCTTTTATGAGTAAATAGTCAAAATTCATAGCGAAAAAACGAAAAATGTTCTTTCTAAATTATGCGCTCTATTTGCTCTTTCGAAAATTGTGGAAAATCCAACTGCTTTGTATTAAGGAAATTATATAAATGGAGAATAAATGAAACTTATTAGGGAGGCTAGGGAAATCTTACTTTAAGAATTAAGATTTGAAGTTTTGGCTTTAATGGAAGCTTGGTAATTTAATGATAATACATTAAAAAGCGCTATTGGAAGTAGTAAAGGAATGGTGTATGAAGATTTACTTAATTTAGCATAGAATAATAATCCTGTTAATTTTGAATAGAATAGAAATGAGATACATAGATAAATAGAAAGTATTATGGGAGTTATTAATCCACCTAAATTGTGATAATATTATAAGTTTTTTTATTATTATTAATTTATATATTTATTATAGGTTTTTTTTTTTAATTTATTTTATATTTTATTAAATATCAATTATTTGAATCATTAATATGAATAAATAAGAATAAAAATTAATAACAAATTAAAATTTGATTATAAAATAAAATAATATATTTATCTATTAGTAAATTTGTTTTATATTTTGTACATTCATCATTTAAGTTATAATTTATTATAAATATATTAATATTTCACATTTGAATAATTTGGCTTAAATTTTTGTTGTTTAATAATAAAATATAAATCTAAAAAAAAAATATTTCAATAAATAAAAAAATTGTAAAAATATTTTGAATTGCTAATTTATAATATATATTTTATAAATATATATATATAGAGATAAATAATAATTAGAAAAGATCATCCACGTCTACGAATAGCTCTATATTTTCTTTCTTCTTCTTTTTGTTTTTTACGAATATCGTCAGGTGCTAATATATCAATTTTAGGTTCCCATTCATCCAATTCATTATCCATAGCAATTTATCTTAAATAATTATTTGAATTAATTATATAAGAAGGATTTTGCATCATGCATTTATTATCAAAATTAGTAAAATTCACTGACTATTTAATAAGATCCCTGGTAGATTTTTTGAATGCATATTAATTATATTGATTTTTTTTATCTTATAATTGTTTTTAAAAGTTAACAATTTATTCTCTTATTTAAAAGGCAATTCTTTGGGCGAACTCTTCATTTAAACCTAATTCAGAACATACACTATAGGCAAATTATTCAGGAGAATTGTAAGGATCATTAATATCCCAATCAAATTAATCAGTATATTAAATATTATCTATAAAAATGTTAATTTTAATTGTTTTTATGAGTTCTTTTTCATTAGGTTCGTATATTTTATAGGTATTTAATTGCCTGCGGATTGTATTTACTATTTCGTTTTCAATTAATGAATTTAAACGGTTCTCTTTTGATACTATATGTGCAAAGTTCTCTGGGGTTACATAAGGCTCAAAATAATTCCATATTATAAAATCTTTAAAATGCTGCCCTTCTAATTCTATATCTATATGAATTGGTATTAATTGCTCTAGATATTATTGATTTTCGTTTATTTTATTTGGATTTTGTTATTCGATTTATTGATTGTGAAGATATTGGGGAACTTCTAATCTTCTTAAATAATTTGAATATATCTAATAATATTCTTTTGGGTCTGATGACTTTATATATTTTTGTTCTATCCATTTCTTTAGTTATTCTTCTATTTAAGTATACTCGGGTATTTCTTCACAATTTAAATACGAAAAAAGATGATTTTAATTTATATTTGCTTCAATTGATAAGTCGGCATATTTTAAATTTAGTTTGTATAATAATTCATGTAGTTTATATATTAAATTGCTCATTTTTTTGTTTTTTAATATTTTTAATTGGTTTATTTTTTTGTATAGTTTTTATTTTATATATTTTTTCCTTATTATTTTTTGAAAAAAATAAAAAGTGAGGATATTTATTTATTTTTTCTTATTTTATATTTTTTTCTAATATATATTATTTTATATATTATTGTCCTATTTTTTTTTTAAATATTTTTGTTTTTTTCTATTCATTCTTATTTTTCTTTTAGTTTTTTTTTTTTTTGGATCTTTTTACCATTTTAATATTTTGTTTGTTTTAATTTTTTATTTTTTAATTTTTATTTTTTTAAACTAATTATTACTAGATTTATATTTATAATTAATTTTTATATTTCATTTTATAATTAATTAGAAATCTTTCAAATATTTTATGTTCAAAATAATAATTAATTAAAAAAAAAATATAATTTTTCATATTATATCAATCATTTAGTAAGTAATAAAAATATTTATTTATTATACATAAAGTTAAGTTTTATTCAAAATATTAAAAAAAAAAAATGTTAATGTTTTTTAATATAATAAACAATAGATTTATTTCAAATTGATGTTAATATAAACAAATTAATAAAATAAAAAAAATATAAATAAAAAATAATTTAATAAATATTAAATTAAAAATAACAAAAGTCAAAAATAAATTTTAATAAAATTAAATTAAAAAATGGTTAAAATAAATACAATATGTAGATCAAATAACGATTATATCCGTGAAACAAAATATGATATTAATAAAGTTTAAAGAAATACATCTTCAAATTTACATTAATTTTAAAAAGCAAGAGAATACCAAAGAACTAAAGTAGCCACAAAGTTAGATAAAATATTCGCTAAGCCATTCCTTGGATAATTAACAGGACATTCTGATGCCATTTCAGTAATAACAAAATGTCCGTCAAGTTTAACAAAAGTACTTTCAGGCACTTATGATGGAGAACTAAGAGCTTGGGATGTTGCGGACCGAAAATCTTTATTTTCAATAAACGCTCATAAATTATAAGTAAAGGGTGTTTCATTTTCAAGAGATGGCCATAGGTAAAACAAAAAATATAAAAAATTAAATATATAAATAAAATAAAAAAAAGATTCGTATCAAGTGGTGCTGATAACATAGTAAGTTTATACGATTTTAAAGATACATTAAATAATCCAAAAATTTAACCATTAAACACTTTTTATAGCAAAAATGTACTAGGAAATGTTGATCATTGTTGGAAAGGCGATATATTTGCAACAAGTGGAAGTGTAATATAAATATGGAATTATGAACGTTCTAAGCCAATATAAACATACGAATGGGGTGTAGATACAATTTTGAAGATAAAATACAATCCAGCTTAAATTAATTTACTTGCAGGGACAGGAATTGACAGAAGTATTATAATATATGATACTAGGGGAGAATCGGGTGTATAAAAAGTTTATTTGTAAAATAAGTGTTAGAGTATCTGTTGGAATCCTACTGAACCAATTAATTTTGTTGTAGGATGTGATGATGGGAATTGTTATAGTTTTGATATGAGAAAAATGGAGAGTGCAAAAATGATTCATAAAGACCATATTGGGGCAGTTATGGATGTCGATATTGCGCCTACGGGAAGAAAGTTTGTTTCTGGAAGTTATGATAAAACTGTAAGAATTTTTGATATTGAAAAAGGAAGAAGTGAAGAAGTTTATCATGGATAAAGAATGTAGTAAGTACTTGCTGTTGCATGGTCAATGGATAATGAATTTATTCTGTCAGGATCAGATGATATGAATATTAGAATATGGAAAAGTAATGCCAGTAAACCGATTGGATTAATCAATTAAAGACATTAAAATACACTTAATTATAGAGAAGCACTTAAAGATAAATTCTAGTATAATAACGATATTAAAAAAATTAGAAAACATAGGCATTTACCTAAATATATTATAAATGCTAAGAATAGAAAATAGGAATAAAAATAATCTAAATTTAGAAAAGCTACTAATATGGAACTTAATAATGCTAAAAAGGAGAAACAAAAACCAGAAAGATTACAAAAAGTAGAAAAAGTAGAAAATTAATGATAATTATTAAATCTTTTAGTGTTTTTTTTAGGACATATATAATTAATTTTTGTTTTAAACATATTTATTTTAAAAGAATTTCAAGAAATTTTTTTAAAATAAAATAATTTATATATTATATTTCCATAATTTTTATATATTTTTAGAAAAATAGATTTTAAAAAATGAATTTATTTTTAAAATAAAAAAATAATAATATTTTGTTGTTATCTATTAAAATATATATAATATCAAGTCCTTCTTTCTAGAGAATATCTTTATAATACATTAAATGATTATCTTCTTACATCATCAATAACTTTTTATTTATCATTTATACTTAATCTAAGGGATTCGATTTCAACAAATAATATAAAACAAATACTATGTAATTAGGTAATTTATTTTTGAAGATTATCATTACTAACGAGAGATCTTTTCATTTATTAATTTTCATTGTCAATTTATTATATTTTTTTTCTTAAATTTTCATTATCAGAATACACATGTGCATCTTTTTCTCTTAATCCTTCTATTTCTTAAAGAGCGCTTTCCAAAATGGAACATCTCATAAGAAGTTATTGAATTTCTTAGTTTTATTCTTATAGAATATTATGTTATCTATTAATTTCATTAGCTAGAATTTCAATATTTCCTCTATGCTTTTCATTTTCTTATGTTTTATTTTCATTTAATACATTAAGTCTTTCAATTTCTTAAGCAAGCTAAACTATTTTTCCTTCATAATCTCTTAATTTTATTTCTAATTATTTTGCCTATTAATATTATTTATCTAAAATTGAATATTTTTTTAATTCGTCTTAGTTTATTATTTCTAATTATTAACATTGAATTTCTAAATTTCTGGCTTTTTCTTCATTTTATTTTAATTAATTTATTATATTTTACATCTATTTTATTGCATCTAATTAATCTTTTTATATTTTTTTTTTATTTAAAATAAAAATATATATGCTTGAAATAATATGAAAATAAACCTTAGATTTATACATTTTTTTAATTAATTAAATCGTTTAAACTTTCATTATCAGAATTTAAAACGATTATTTTACTTTCATATTCTTTTATTTAAGCTTAAAGTTAAATTTTTTAAAATGCTTAAGTTTCTAATTCATGAATTTATTTTCTTAATTAATTTAATTCATTAATTTGATTTTGTATCAAATCATTTAATTAATTGATTTTCTATTAGAGATTTTCTATTTTGTTCTCTTGTTATTTACAATTGTCTTTGTATTATAATAATTCTTCTATTAATATTTCTTGTTTTCGGAAACTGTTTTTCCATTCTTCTATGTTTTGCTGTAAAATACTTATTTAATTATCTTTGTTTTGACACAATACTTAGTATTTTTAAAGATCATTTAGTTGAAATTCCATTTATTAACTTGCTATCATTAACTTTTCTATTTTGTTCGTCTTATCTATCAATTTATCCCTTAACTTTTGATTTTCATCTTGTAAAGATGCGAATTTTTAATTTAAAGTATCTATTTTTATATCCTTTTATTAAACTGTATCAGTTAAACTTTATTTATAATATTATTTAATCAGATTAAAATAGTATTAATATATTATTTATTTTACTTTTAATTTAATTATATAATTTAATTTTCTTTATCTTAAAGTTAGCTTTTTATTTATTATAATTAAATTTCTATATTCTTTTTTTCTTATGAAAATTTTTAGTTTGCTTTTTCTATTTAATTTTCAAATTATTCAATTGTATCTTTGTTTCTAAAATATTTTTATTTTTTTGATTAAAAAAGAAAATAATTTAAATTTTGCTATATACTGTCTTATTAATTATTAGAATTCTTATTCTTTAGTTTGTAATTATTATTTTAGTTAAATGAGTTAAATTTCTAATTATTTTACTTTATCTGAATGTTTTGTTACTAATTCATTATTTTTTTATTCATACTATAAATTGCTCTAATTTAAACTTTTTATTTATATTTTATAGTTAAAAAAAAAAAAAAAAAAATTATTAAGTATAAAATTACTATTTTTTCAATTAAGATATTTCATTATCTTTTTAATTGTTTTAAATTTTTAGTTTTTATATTTCAGATTAATATTGTTTGCTATTTTGTTCATTTGTATAATCTAATTCAATTATTTATTATTCTTTTTATTAATTAAATTCTACCAAACTTATATTATTTTGTTTTAAATTTAGTATATTATATAATTTAAATTTTACTTTCTTTTTAATTTATTTAATTCTTTTTCTTTTTCTGAAATATCTTTGTTTAATTTCTAAAGTTGGATTTCTAAATCATTTTTTTAATCATTTAAAATATCTATTTCAGTTTATTTTTAATCTTTAGCTCTTATAGCTTCACTCATACTATTTGTATTTTTTTCAAAAGAAATAAATATGTTTAATTATATACCTATTTTTCAATTAGTTTATTTGCATTTATTTTTCGTTGTTTTACTTATTTAATATTTATATTTCACTTTCTAAATCTTTTACTTAATCTAACAAAAGTTGATTTTAATTCATCTTTTACTCTTTGATTCTATTAAGTTCATTGAAACTTTTTTTTTTGTTTAAAAAAAAAATATTATATATATTATTTACTTATTTTTTAATTAATTTATATATGTAAGTTTTTCATTTAAATTTTATTATATTTTCTCATTTTCAGATTATAATTCTTGTAATTTCTATTACAATTCATCCATTTCTTTTGTTTTTTAATCTTTTACTTTATTACTATCAAATAAGCTTTTTTAAAAAATAATATTAATGAATAAATAAACAAATTAAAATTTTATTTTAATAAATAACAACCTTCGTTTTAGTATATTATTATCATCTTCTTTTTGTATTAATGATTATTTTATTTATTCATACTCTTATTATAATTATTCAAAAAACTATTAAACAACTTACAATTCGTTATTTTTTTAATCTTTTAGTTTATTTGTTTCAATTAAACTTATATATATAAATATATTTTTATTAATTTATTTTAAAAAAAATTAATTATGATTTCTAATACTTTTTCTTTAATTAATTCATAATTTCATCTTTTTAATAAATTTATTATGCACTTTAATTTTATAATTCATCAAATTCTTATTTTTTTATTCAAGTTAATTAAATAAGTCTCTAATTTTTTATTCTTTTAAAGAAATTTAATCATTAAGACTTTTTATTTTTATTAAAATAAATTATTTATTAAAAATTAAAATTTACCTTTTTTTTAATTAAGTTAATTTATCCTCTTTATCTTAAATCTATTAATTCAAATTAATTAAATCGTTTTCAAATTATTATTTTTTCTCTTAAAGATTATTTTATGCTTCTTTTAATGCTTAATCTTTTTAAAGAATACTATAATTTTTGAAAAATAAAATTTATTTTTTTTGAAAAAAAAAAATACGTTTTTTAAGTTTCTATAATTCATTTTCCTTATCTAATATTTTCTAAGTAGCTTCTTAAACTTAATCAGCGAAATTTTGTTAAGCTTTTTAATAGTTTTAATCTATCTCGTTAATTTTTCCGTTCTTTTATTTTTATATTTCATTTATACTTTTTTTATAATTAATTAAAATAAATTTTAAAATATTTTATCTATTTACTTTTATTTTTATAGTGCAATTTAATCTTCTTTTTATTTTAATAAATTATTTAAATCTTCTATATGGGCTTATAGTTACTTATTTACTTCTTATTAATTATTTAAGTCATTCTATTTAAGATCTTTTTAAGCGTTTATATCATTTATACTTTTTTTTGTTTTTTTTATTTTTTTATATATTATTTTACATTCTTTTTAATTTTATAATATCATTATCTTTATCTAATATTTATTAATTTAAAAGCTAAATATCATTTTCTTCTTATTTTTTTAGTTTAAGAATATTGTTTTCGAATTCCTTCGTTTTTTTTTCATTCTAAATTATTTATTCTTGCAAACTATTTTATTTTTTTAAAATATATAATTTAAATTGTCTTATATATAAAATAATTTAAATATTACGCTTTTTTATATTTACTTATTTCTTCATTTTTATTATCTAATTATTAACAAATCATTTAATTATTTTATTCAAGTTATTTCTCTTTTAGTTTAGCTTATTTTTCTAAATCATTAATTTTTTTTTAAGATTATTAGTTTTAATCATTTAAACTTTTAATTTATTTAGAAAAAAAGATAATGATTATGTTTTTTTTTTTAATACTTTTTTTTTAATTAATCTATTAAATCATCTTTGGCTTAATTACTTTTAATTAAGTCTTTACATTCTTTTTCAAATTATTTTTTTAATTCAATCAAGTTTTATAATTCATTTTATTTTAAATCTTTTTATTAAATTACCTCTTTGATACTAATTTTTTTGTTTAAAAAAAATAAACAATAAAAAATACTCTTCTTTTGCTTTTTTCAAATCTTCTTCTATTTGTTAAACTTTATTATTATAATTTTATTATTCTTAATCCAATTGTTTTTTTGTTTTTAGGACTTCTTATTCTAATTATTTCATTTTTTTATTATTTTCTTAATTATTTTCATCAGCACTATTTATATAAATTTAAATTAAAAAAAATATAATATAAAAATAACTTTTTTTTTAATTTAGTAAGTTATTCATCTTTTTCTTTTATACTTTTTTTAAGTAATTCTTGTTATTTTTAGCTTTCTTATAAAACTTATTATGTACTTTTTTAAAATTTATAACAAAAATAAAAGAATATAATATTTAAAAAATATTAAATTGAAAAATGATAAAAGGCACAAGGCACATTTTTTATTTTTTAAGAAAAGAATAAAAAAACATATTATAAATAAAAAAATATACCTTTATTAAATTTATTATAATTCGCGATCTTTACTTTTTATTTGATTTTCTAAATTTCCAATTTATTAATTTAAATCATTTATTTAAATTACATTCATTTATTAATTTTATAAAACTATTTTATCACATTCTTCTTATTTTTTATCAAGTTACATTTGGATTTTATTTATTTTATCGTTGTTTTCATCTTATTATTCTTAAAATTTTAGTGCATTTTTATCAATAATAGTTACATATTCATCTATCTTATTCTCTAAAGCTGAAACAGTTTGTTTCCATTATTCTATTTCGTTGTCTTTTATCTAAAATAATTATAATAAACTTTTTGTAGCATTCTTTGTATCTTATGATTCTGGTGGAGGACGCTTTAGAGTATTAGGTACTTCTTTTTAAACAATTGTTCTGGTAATAATTTTTGATGTACTTTCATCACTTTATTAATGATTTAAATTTGTAATTTATTAATTATAGTTACTCATTATTTTTTTTTTATAATTAATTATAATTAATAATTCTAATGAATAATTATATGCTTTTTTTTATTTGAGTTTAATATTTTTTATTTAAAATTAATTTTTGTATTTAATTTATATTATTTTTTATTATTTCGTTTTATATATTTATTAAAATTTTATAAATATTAATAAAGCATTATTTTTCTTAAATATATAATATTATTTATTTAAATATATATATTTTTTTAGCTTTTTTCCTTTATTTTACTTTACTTACTTATATCCAATTAAAATATTTTTTTTATTATAAAAAAGCATTAAAAAATAATTCATTAGATATTTTAAACATATTTTTTTTTTAATTATCTAAAATAAAAATTAAATACAAAGTTATATATTTATGAGGTCTTTATTGATTAGAAATATTTTTTAATTATTAAATATATTCTAAATCTCATTATCGTAATTTATTTTAGTAAATATATTTTAATATGATTATTATATATTGAAAACTATTGAATTACTTATATTTCTTAATATACTTAATTTTATAAAATAACTTATTTTTTATTTTTTTAAATATGACATCTAAAAAATAAAAAAATTAAAATACAATAAATATTTATATAAATAAATAATTTTAATAATGTTTATTTAATAATTAAAAATTTCTTAAACAAATTTATTATAAAGTAATTTTAATATTAATTTTTTTTTTATTTTAATAAGAGATTGTAATTATTATATAAAAACTAATTTTAATAAATTAATTATATTTATTAATTAGGCGGAGGCGGGGAAAACAAAATATTTTAATTTAATAAAAAATTATATTTGTATATATACATATAAATTATTTTATATTAAATTAAATTTAATTATTTTATTCTCTTTATAAAAATAATATAAGAAAAATAAAATATTTTTACAAAAAAAATATAAGAAAATAAAATATTTTTATAAAAATTAAGTATGTTTTAAAAAATAAAAAAAATTATTAATTAATATTATCGAAAGCTTGTATCATACATTAATATAATTTATTATAAAAATATTAATTTAAAATAAAATACATAATAACTAATAAATTATTAAAAATTTTTAAATTTTTCTAAGTAAAACTAAATAAATATTATAAAAATTTCGAATTGATATCAAAAAAAAAATTAAATTTAATAAATAAAATAATAATTATAAAAAATAATAATAATTTGATATTGAAATAAAAATAAAAAAAAAATGATATATGATAATAATACGATTTGACTTGATAATATTAATAAAAATTATCAAAAAATAATATAAATATATATATATTTAAAATAAATATATATTTATTTATATATATAATTTATTTATTTATTTATTTATTTATTTATATATATATTTTATCTTGTAAAACTTTATTTTTGTATGTTAATTTTATTTTTTAGCTTAAGCTTTTTTGTAAATTCATAAATTTTTAATTTTAGGTTTATTTATATTTAATTTAAAAATAAAAATAAATTAATTACTCATCACAATTTTTTTTTAATTTTATATTATAAATAATTATATAAAGAAAAAAAAAATTAGTAATTTAAATTATTAATTTTGTTAAATTAAAATTTGAATGTTAAATTTTTTTATATATACATTTTTTATAATTAGATTAAAAGAATAATTAATATATTGATATTTAGATTTAAATAAAAATATTTATATAATTTTTAAAAAAAGAATTTTATTTAAACTAAAACAAAAAAAGAATTAAAAATTACAAAGCTAAAATTAAAAAAATGAAATAAAAAAGAATTCAAAAACTTAAATAAAAAATATAATTAAAACAAATTTAAAAAAAGCAAGTTCAATAAGAATTTCAAGAAGATTAATATAATTTAGAAGAAAGTCAAATTGAAAATAAATCTGAAGAGCAAAAAAATATCTAAAATTAAACTCTAGAAAATTTAAACGATTCAAATTTAAATGTTTAATAATAAGAAGAGTTAAAGAATGATACATTTAAATCACTAGGAGTAAACATTAATTTTTTCATATTATTGTTTTAATAATTTTTTTTTTAAACTAAAAAAAAAAATGGATATATGCATTTTTTTTGATTAAGTTTATTAAAAAAAATTGCAAAAAAAATAATATATATAAATATTATATTAAAAAAAATAGGTTTGCGATGAATTATTAGAAGCATGTAATAGACTAAAATATATAAATCCAACAGCTATTTAAATAGAAAGTTTACCCTATACCTTAAAAGGTTAAGATATAATAGCTTTAGCAGAAACAGGATCAGGAAAAACAATGGCTTTTGCACTACCTGTAATTTAATCTTTATTAGATGCTCCTATAAAGTTTTTATGCGCTTATATTGTCACCTACAAGAGTAACTATGTATGCAAATAGCTGAACATTTTGAAGTCATTAGGAGTAGGAGTAAGTTTAAAAACAACAGTAATAATTGGAGGTTTAGAACCTTAAATATAAGTATAAGCATTACAAAAAAAACCTCATATAGGTAATAAAAAAAATATATATTTAAATAAAAAAAGATAAATATAATTATATATAAATAATATATAAATATATATATATATATATTTATATATATATTTAAAAATTTTTATTTATATTTATTTATATATTTTTTTTAAATATTTTTTTATAGTTGTCGGTACTCCTGGAAGAATATTATATCATTTATAAAATACTAAAGTTTTTAATATAAAGTAATTAAAATATTTAATATTGGATGAAGCTGATAAATTATTAAATATGGACTTTGAAAAGGATATTAATAAAATATTAGATGTTTTACCGAAAAAAAGAAATACTTTTCTTTTTTCAGCAACTATGACAAACAAAGTAAATAAATTAACCAGAGCTTCTTTATAAAATCCTGTTAAAATTGAAGTTTCCTTAAAATATTAAACTGTTATTACTTTAGTTTAATTATATAGTTTTATTCCTTCGAAATACAAAGATTGCTATTTAGTGTATACTTTGAACGAATTTGCAGGATAAACATCTATTATATTTGTTACAACATGTTTAAATGCGATAAAGTAATTAATTAATAACTTTTAAGAATATATAGATTAATATAATTATAAAAAAAATAACATAGATTAACACTAATTTTAAAAAATTTAGGATTCTCAGCAGTTACTATAAATGGATAAATGAGTTAAGTAAAAAGATTTGGAGCAATAAATAAATTTAAAGCAGGAGAAAAAAAATATTAGTGGCTACAGATGTTGCATCTAGGTAAAAAATTAAATAAATAAATAAATAAATAAATAAATAAATAAATAAATAAATAAATAAATAAATAAATATATATAATTTATATATATATATTATTTTTATTCTTAAAATTTGTATACTTATATATATATATATATATATATATTTATAATTTATTATATATATATTTATATTTTATTAAATTGTAGAGGTTTGGATATACCTAGTGTAGATTTAGTTATTAATTATGATATACCCAATAATGCTAAGGAATATATTCATAGAGTTGGTAGAACAGCAAGAGCTGGAAGAGCTGGAAAAGCAATAAGTTTAGTTACTTAATATGATGTAGAAATGTATTTAAAAATAGAGGCTTATTTAGGAAAAAAATTAGATGAATATAAATGTGAAGAAAGTTAAGTTTTAGTTTTTAATGAGAGAGTCCAAGAAGCTTAAAGAATAAGTGCTTAGGAGATAAAAGGAATAATGGAAAAAAGAAATATAAACCCACTAAAATATTTAGATGATGAAGGCACAAGCTATAGATAGAAAAAAAAAATGAAATAAAATATAGGAAATAAAAATTTAAAAAAAATAAAAATAGATATATGATATTAATTTTATTTTAAAAAAATTATAAAATTATTATAATAAAAAAATAATATATATAAATATATAAATTTATATATATATATATATATACATAAATATATATATATAAATGTTTTATTTTTTTTATTAATACTGTTGTTTATTCGCAAACATACGAAAATATACTAGATAATTTTAATTTGTTTTAAAATTTAAATTATTATTTTTTATATTATATTATTTGCTCTATTAATTCTTTATAATTTATTAATATTTTTTTGATTTTTTGAAAATTTTTTTTATTTTTATTTCTTCATTTATTTTATATATTTTAAAATATTTTCTATATTTTTTTATGAATATTTTATTTATCATTATCATCCTCTTATTTATGTTGATTTTTAATATGTTTTTAATTTAACATTTCTTTTTAGTGTATTTTACATATATCTTTATTTTTGTAGCATAGTATATTATTTAGTTTTATTATATTCCAGTTTCTTTTATTTTCATGATGGTAGTAGAATTTTTAGTGGTTTTTTTTATGAGTTGTATTTTATATTCTTTATTATAGTTTTTTTTATATCTAATAGTTGTTTTCTTTTTTTACATATTGTATTTAAGCAAAATTTATTTAAAAAAGGCTATAGAATAAATGATGGAGTATGTTTATTAAATCTCATGCTGCTTTTAAATGTTTTAAGTATAATAATTTGCCATTTAGTCTTGTATGATTTTTTAATAAAGGAGAATAATATTATACCATACGAAATTTAGCTGAATATTATTAGAAATCATAAATGAAATTTATTTTTAAAATTTATTGACTCTTAGTTGATTTGATTTAATCGAATGGTTGCAAATTGTGTGTTTTATTTTAAACATTTTATGTTAGATTTGATACTTAAATTCGAATCTATTATAATACCTATGTATTTATATTCTGATTTAATAGGAAAATTTTAGAAGTGTTTTCCAATAAAGTTTTTAAATTTTCTTCTATAAAATATTATATCGGATTTTTCTTTATTTATTTGCATTTTGCTTTCTAATGCCCATTATTCTAAAGTGTTTATTATTAATCTAAGTTGTTTTAAGTTTGAGAAAAAAATTGCAATGTCATCAGCATAAAAGAGTTGTTTATTAATTTATATACCAGCCTTACAAAGTTCTTGGAAAATTTGGTCTATAAAAATGTTGAATAAGGCTGGACTTATAATAGATCCTTGTGGTACTCCTTGTGTAATTCTAAAAGTTTTATTATTTATTTTTATATAAGAGTTTTCGATTAAGAATTAGAGTAGATTGAATTCTTCGAAATTTAATATTTGTTTTTCTGAGACAATTTAGAGTAGTATATTGTGAGGTACTGTATCAAATGCATTTTTTAAATCAATGAATAGAACTCCAGATTCATTTTAGTTTTATAGTTTTTTCCATTCTTAAGCATATTTATACAGGTTAATTTCTGTCCCTAAGTTTTCTATAAAACCTGATTATGATTTCCCTATTTTTAGTTTTATATAATTAAATAACTTTTAGCTGATTTATAATTCCATTAGTTTTCTTATAGGGGATTAAATTATAATGGGTCTAATTTTGTCTATTGTGCAAATTTTAGGAGAGTTTTTATTTAGACAAAAAAGTCTTCCTTATAAATGTTATAGAAATAAATTTTTATAATTTATGTTATTAATACATTATTTTAAGAGATTTATTCTTGCTTTTTCCAGGTTTTAATCTTTTTTAATTTGTGTTAAAATTTAATCAGATATTAAGTCAGAAGATAAAGCTTTATTTTTGAGAATTTGGGAGATTTATGAATTTCCAATTAGTATATTATATAGGGAATCAATTTATCTATTGGGATCATTTAAAATGTTAGTTAAATATATCATATAGTAATTATTCAAGTTCTTTTCCTTAATATATTTTTTGTTAAGTTGAATAGAGTCGATTGGAGATTATTTATTTTTATTTTAATATTTTATTTTTTGTTTACATGCTTTCCAAAAACGTTGTGATTTATTTGTATTCAAGAAAAGAGTAAGATTATTCCAAAGTTGATTCCATTATTTATTTTAAAATATTTTTTTATTTTTGATAAACTCTTTTCAATCTTGAGAATTTTGGAATATGGAATAGATGTGTCTTGTCCAATTTTCTAAATCATTAATAAATTTTTGTTTTTATATATATTTAATTTTAAATTTTTTAGAATTCAATAATTTTAATGGATTTTCTTATTTTAGTGCTTGTAGTATAAGATTGCGTGCTTTTTTTTATTGTATATTTATATTATTTTTTTTTAGATATTATTTTATGTGATAATTTCAGAAATTAAATATTTATGATTACTGTTACCTATTTTATTACCAACTTTTGTTTTAAATTATAAAGAATCGCTTGAAATTGTTAAGTCTATGATGCTATTTAAGTGTGTAGGTTAATCTGGGCTAATTTTTAAGTTATATTTTTAAATGAAATCTTTTAGTAATTTATTTCTAATTTAAGGATTTTATTAAAGTCTCCGAAAATAAAAATTTGTGGATTTTAGTACATTTGAAGTTTTTGATTAATTTCTTGGAATATAGAAATTATTTAACTTTTTAGTTAATTGTTTGGGATATTGAGGCATGCTATAATTAATTATGAACTATTATTTATGTCGAGCATAATCATTTCAAGCTCTTGTGATTCAGTTTTTATTTCTTGTCCACGTAAAAAATTGTGTATAAAAATAGAGACCCCACCTCCTTTTTTATTATTTCTATACCAATGAAAGCCATTGTAAGTGATGATGTTTATTGGTTTTTCTTATTATTGCCATATTTCACAAAGTAGAATGATTTAAGAGTTCGTTTTGGTTGCTTCGTATATAATTAGTTTTTTTTTGTTATATATGGACCTAATATTTGTGCTTAATATTTTTATCTATTAGTATTATTGTTTAGTGTTTTATTAATTATTGTAAACCTTTAAGTATGTTTTTGTTTGTTTATATATAAGTTGTTATATTATTGTTATATATTATATTATATTTTTTATATAGGTAAATTGTTTTTATTTTTTATTTTATTTTTTTGGTTTTATATTTTAGTGTAATTATTATCATA